CCCCTCGGTGGCCCTTGGCCGGGTTTAGGGGCTCCCTGCCAGGCCCTGCTCCAGAAAGGTTGTTACCGCGGGGCGCTGAGGCGAATGACACTGGGCCACGCTTGGAGGCCTTCCCTTTTCTTCCTAACTCTTGAGTTCTGTCGTGGGGTCTCGGCTGGCCTCAGTTAAGGCGCGGGGGCTGCGGGGTTCCGTCGTGGCAGTCAGCGGAGGAGGCTCGTATGTGAGACCTCAGCTCCCTGTCAAGCGAGTGGGCCCTCAGTCTCAGCAGAGATCGAGGGCTTGCTACTGCTTTAAGGAGTTGAGAGTGTGGGACTTCTATTTTTCCTCTACTTCTTGCACCAAAACCTTCGATTATTGTGTAGTTTATTCTTGTACTTCTGTGTCTTCTCTTCTTTCCATAATCTGGCTTTTACTAGAAGGGACTTCTTCAGGGCAGAAACTGCCAGTTCTTGAATGTCTGGAAAAGTCATTCTCTGCTGTGCAAAGTATTACTAGGAAAGAAATTACTGTTAAAGAGCTAGCTGTCTTTGTGGGAGTAGAGTGTATTTGTCATGTCCTGAGAAGCCATACCAGTAAGGGAAGGATCATGTTTTCTGTTTTGTACTTAAAAGTCTTTCTTGAGTATACCATGTCATGTGGCTGAGAGTGACACTGATGTCTGTATATGTCTGGAAAAAAAACAGGAAGGTCTAGGTGTATACAGTGTATGTCATGGTGCTCTCAAATTCTGAGAGTCAATTCTGAGCTTTAAACTAGGCAAATATAAGCCTGAAGACTTATTCAGCCACTAGAGCTGTTATTTTCAGTGTGAATGGCTATACTGCAGCTTTGACTAGTGGAAACCCATAGGCTTGCTAGATGTCACGGAGCTCATGAGCCATTAGAAGTAAGGTGTAGAAATTCTGTTGCCTCCTCCTTTGGGAGAGACCTAGAAATAGCACTACGAAAAGAGCTATTAGAGATTTCTTCCCTGGATATGTTCTTTAATTGTATCTCAAGTATGAGTAGCTGGTCATGCAGCTTCTTTAAAGGAGAAAGCCAGAAGACAGCACCGGTGTCTGGAATTTGAGCATTATTGGTATTGTATGGTTAGAAGTGTCTTTGTAAAAGAGTGGATAAATGAAAATCGGGTTAAGGACAATTTGAACTCTGAAAGAAAAGAAGTACAACTCTTTACATTTGGATACTGAATAATTATTAAAAGGAGCTTAATGTAAGTATCTTTCAAAGTGTTAGATAAAGACATGCATTTGTCAATACTGGAAGACTTACTGTAGTTGAAATGAAAGTATCTGGTCTGTGTTACACAACTGGTAACTTAAAGTTCCTGTTTGACCTTAAAATCTGTCAAATTTAACATCAGATGAGTTAAGGTTTGAAAAGTAATGTAGTTTTGTTACAAAAATGTTTCTTTGTCAGTCTGTCAGTGGCCAAAATTAGTAGATAATTCTTGACCTAAAAAGGTGATATAGAAATTCTGAGCACAGAGTCTGCCAGTAACTTAATTTTAAACAGATATTAGTGAAACTTTGTTGAACAATTATTACTTATGCCATAATACAAAACCAGTGTCTTTGAATAAGAGAACTTAAAAGTTTCATAAGCCACAAATAGATGTGAAAGGTATGATCAACCGAATCTGTGAAGATGTTTTACTGAGGAGCTCTGCTAGTTTTCGGACTCTTGTGCAAATTAACTTCTGCATTGTTAACATTATTTCAGTTCTTAGGAAGACATCATCTCTAACTGCTGTAGGCAAATGTCTCCAATAATGCTACTTTCTAGGCTTTCTGTCTCTGATTTGTAGCTGAGGTCATATTAGAAGGAACAGTTATATGCGGTTGATGATGTCTATAAAGTTCTGTAGTAGCAGCCACAAAACTTTATTAAGTCTAATGGATTTATTAATTGTTGCTGTGAGGCACAGGACTGACAGCAGGCCTGCTTTTTTGCTGGCTGTGAAAGAGAGCAGCATACTATTTTCTGGAAAAATGCAAAAGGCTGAGAAACTGCCTTTCAAATGGTGCTGTGCATGCCACCTTTCAAAAAGTAAAAGAATAATGTCTAAGACAGCAAAATACTAAGACTTTTTGGATGTGGAAATAAAATCTGTATTTTTTTTTTAATTGATTATCAAAGAAACTTCAAAGCTAAGCATTGTTTGAAGGGATGTAAGAGGGTGGGAATGCCAAATTTGGAGTCTGACAAGGAAGTTAATAAAGTGCTTACCGCATGAACATTCTATATTTTTCATAGGTGGCATGAAACGTCCCGTTCGTAAGCATATACATAAGGAATGCTCTTGGCACACCTTGATAAGTTACTTTGGCCTAAACATCGATTGCCTCTTGTAAAAACCTGTAAGTAAAATAAATGTGATTTGATTTGAGATTGCTTTTATGATTTGCTTTCTGATCAAAGTTAGCGTGGTCTGCCTGTGAAAGGAAAAGTGAGTATCAGTTACCTTATTTTGTAAAACGGGCAAATCTTCAGTTGTATTAACTGACACTGTTACAACAGTTGACAAGAGACGGTAAACTCTGTATCAATTATTGTGTTTTACAGAAATGGCAGCTCAGAAAAGGAAGTCTGTGTTAGTAGAGGCTTCTGCTAAACGTCCAAAGCTGGACAAGAACAGCAAACCGTCATCAGCGAAGAAGGAAAAAGAGGTGTCAGATACAAAACATGTCTCAAGTAAATCAAAGCCTAATCAGTGTGCAGTGCAGGAGAAAACTGTACTCAAAACCTCTGTCAAATCAAACAGGTCAGTGACAAAAAAATAAGTAATTGTTCTAGGTTATCGTCCTAAACTAAATTAGTTCAGAAAAAATCTAAGCAGAATGAATTGAAGTTCAGCTAAATAGATAAATAGTAGTAGTGGGAAGATCAGCCTTAAATCATTAAGCGTATCGGCTACATGATCTTTTTCTGGAATCATGTTAGTGTCTTGAAATCCAGAAAGACTTCCTCCAAAAAGGTTTCTGAAGCAAACGTAAATCGAATGCTGTATAAGCCAATACTTAATTTGAAAACCACAAGTGTCAACAATTGGAAACTGCTAGAGACGTTAAAACGCATTCAAGTAGGGTTCATAGTTCAGTCTTGCCATGCATAAAAAACCATCAAATACTACACTTAAGAGTAACCAGGTGGAAGTGAAGTCTTTTTAGAATTATTTTAGAGAAAATTTTTCCAAAAGTATTGAGAGTGTAAGATCTAGTGTTTTGAAAAAGAAAAGAAAAAAAACGATCGGGACAGAGACTAGTAGGAATGAGGAGAGTCTTATGACAAATTCTGCTTTCCGGATGCTGAAGGAATGATTGTTTGAATCTTTCAGTGACAACACCAATGAACCTCAACTAGGAATGCGCATGACTACAAGATCATCAGGATTCAACACGAATAATAAAACAGTACCTGACAAAAAGGTCCAACCACAGTCTAAATCAACAAAAAATAGGGAGGTATGCCAGAAAAAGTCAGTGCAAGAAATTCCAAAGTCAAAATGCATAATTGCACCAAACGAGCCAGTAATGAGGAGATCACAGAGACTGCAACAGTTAACACATGTAACACAGGTTAACACACCAGCAAGATCCCTGCGCAACAGAGAAGTTAAAGAAGAAAAAGCTTTGGGAGTTAAACAAAGTAGCCAGGTAAAAAGACATGCGCACAGTGCTGCAGCAAAAGTACTTAAGTCTGCTGGAGAGAAAGCGGAACAGAAAACCACAAAAACGAAGCCAAGCAATACAAATGAGGATAAAGAAATACATGTAGAAGTGACCAGCTCTCTGAAAGAGAAAAAATGTAAAGCAGCTAATAAAAATGATAATCCCAACAGCTTTCAACACAACCTTCAAGGGTCATCATTGTGTCCTGATGAGAGTCTTGAGGAAGTTAAGAAAGACCAAACGGGCCCTGTATCTCCTGTTCTTGGCAACACAAAGAAGGTGGAAACAGATTCTCTTAAGCCAAATTCTAAGACAGTAACTAAGGAAAAGCAACAAACACATCAGAACGTAAAAACCAGTTCAAAACCAAAAAAGATTTCACAGCCATCCGTATGTGAAACAAACGTGGCTGAACAACCAGAAAATGATGCAAAATCCAAAAGGGTAAGCATCCTTGAACTTTGTGAAGAAATCGCAGGTGAGATTGAGTCAGATACAGTAGAGGTGAAAAAAGATTCCCCTAATGCGGAGTATAGCAAAACAGAAGAAAAGCATGCTGACATACAGCTTCAACAAAGTGAAATGCTTACTCAGAAAGAACCTGGTCAAAGTACTCAATGCAAACGTTTTTTCCCTAGCAAAAAAGGAATGCCTGTCAAGTGCACTCTGAATGGTAGAAATAACTCCTCAAACAAAAACTCTAAATGGACCAAAATTAAATTACTGAAAGCTAGTAACATGAAGCAAAGTAACTTAAATTCTGCAAATGCCCCCAAGCTTTCTTTGTTAAAAGATTATCCTGAAGTTTCGGAGGCAAGTCAAATAGCTGCAGAAGCAGAGCTTTCGAAGGCACAAGGGAAGCTGTCAATAACAGGACTCTTGGAGAATGAAAGTGCAGCTTGTGTGCAGGAGAAATCACATCCTTCATCTGAAAAAGCTGGAGCTAAAGAAGTGGCATTAGAAGTAAAACAGCCCACAAAGAGAGGTGCAGAAAATGGTTTGTTGCATAATTTGACAAAACATTTATGTGAGCAACGACCAGATGAGGTAAGTTATTTTAATTCTGGTGTGTGGTGGGAGGGTGTTCTAAATCTGTTCTGTTTTCTGGGAATGCCGTGCTGAGAAAGTTTGTTTTAACAATGACTTTATTTTACAGTAACGTAAAATTTTAAAATGTATTAAAGATCCTTTACGCGTGCATTGTTATAGATGGGATGATAGTAAGCTGTAAAATGAATCTGTTCCACCCTCCTAAGTTCTGCAGTTAACTAAATATTGATCGATAAAATTTCCTGCTGGTGCCAGAGGTTGTACAGATTCATATGGATGCTTTTGATGACCTAAGCTTGCATAGCTGTTCTGTTGTGAAAAAGTGTATTAAAAGAAATGAGAGGGGAAGAAAGTGTTCTCTAGCTGAATGAGCTTCTACTAAAATTTAAGATTTTAAGAACAAAGGTGTTCTGTAGGAAGTATTTTACAGGCTTATCTAGAAAATGAAGAAGATTTTTTGCAAAATGAATGCCGCAAACTTCAATATGGACTAGCTGATCAGTTGCATTTTGTTTGCTTAAAATAATGTAGGAATCAGAAAACTAGTGCTATATTCAATATGTTAATACTTAGTTAGCTCTGTGATTTTATTGATAGGATAGAGACATTAAATATTTTGGGTTTTTTATTTGATATTTTCTGCTTTGTTTAGAACTTTCGGTTACGTTTGGAATCAAGTCCAGAAAGTTCTCCAGTAAAGTGTATTACAGCTCCTAAACCACCAAAACAAGTGAAAAAAGAACTCGGAGAAAGTGAACCTCAAGGTAACTGTTTACTACTAATTTTTCCTCTTCTTTCAACCAGTTATATGGGAAGCTTAAGTCTTCCTTTCAGAGGAGCATTTCACAGAATAAGGTACAGAACTAAACTTCTGGGATTGGTACTGTTCACCAATATTTTCATTTCTTTGTGTGTCACACCCATGGCCACTTCAGTAGCAGCTGTGGGCTGTGTTGTGGGAGAGAGAGAGGTGTCTTCTTTGCTACCCCACCCTGCTTTAGTGTGTCTTTGTGCTTTATGCTTGAGTATTTTAATGCTTAAATATGTTCCATTTGAATAAAAGTGAGGAGACAACTTTTCAAACAAACAAACAGAAAAAAGCCCAATCAAATTCTTTCCTTTTCTGTGTAATGAAGTCGCAAAACTTCCATATTTCAGTTGGGTTCTTCTCTTGGATTGGTTTCTGTTAAGGATTCTCTGGTGGTTACGCTTCCTTTGAATAAGTATCTGCATTTGTTTCTCCTAAATTCTCGATCTTCTACTTGATCTTGACCAAATTATTAATTGAGTAATCACACTCTTGTTTTTATTACCTAGTTTTCATTTATCAGCCTGTGGTGAACGCAATTTGTCAAACCTTATGATGGGTGTGACACGAATATTTTGACTCAAGTACATTTATCTATAGATCCCTAACACGTCTTCATTAACTTCCATCTTGATATTTCATCCTTTTGCGTTTGGGTTTTTGATTTGTTGGATTTTAGGTTTGGTTTGAGTTTTATTGTTGTTGTGGGTTTTTTTTTAATCTGAACCTGATTTTGAGTGCAGTTTTAACTACGTGGCTTTACTAAATACTTTTTTTTTTCCCTGCCATTGTAGGATATTTTTGAAGGGCAGAACACTCTAATTATACTGTTAGAGAATGTAACAAATGCTTTTTTTTTTTTATTTAGCTGTTCTTGATTGTTTCTTTTCCTGAAGTGTTACAGAACACACCTTGGATGGGGGCATACTATACATTTTTGATTATGATACCATACATAGAGCTATTTATATCAGTGTCAGTATAGATAGATTTGAACTCCTATGTAGTTTCACTTCAGGCCTGGTTTAGCTGCTGGCAAACTGCTCTGCGGAACTGCTGTGGAAATGTTGAATAAAACTCCATGTGTTTTTAAGTATGTGTGGAGAAATATCTGAATACTGCATGAAGGTTGTGTCTTTTTTGTATTGGTCATGAACAAATTGCAACATCGTCTTCCAATGTGTTTTTGCAAATCACTATTTGTGTAGCTGAAATTTCCACTGCAACTAAAAACCTTATAATGAAGTTTTAATCTTCGATTAATTGTAGATTTGGCTCCCAAGCAGTTGACGCAAACTTCGCTTACAAATCAAACTTCTGAAACTGAGAACAGGTACAGTATTTTATATATTATGAAACTACAGTAAACTTCCATGGAGTTATGGGAGGTTTTATTGTAAGACTAACTGTTCCATTATCTCCCAGCCTCAGCTTTCAGTTTCAAATAAATGACTTGTCTTTTATAAAAACAGACTTTCGTTTTACTCAGTTATTAAGGGATGTTTTAGTTTTGTTAAGAAAATTTGTAGATATTTGTAACTGCGTGTTTATTTTAAAAAGTAGAATTTAACGGAGTTGGGAAAACATTTCTAGTTGTCTCTTCCTCAAATCAGACGTTAACCAGAGAGTATGGAAAGGGTTTAGCACATGATTTTCACTTACTGAGTTATTTCACTTCTGAAGAGTTTTCTGATCCTTAAATTATGGAAGTCTTGTATATAAGAAATTGTTTTAGGTGAGGAAGAGGGGATTTAATTTGGGATTGTTTTGAGATTGCTGTGAAATGGTGTCAGCTGCCATATAAAAAATGATTCTTGTTCTTACTACTAATAGTTGAAACTTACATTTTGACCTTGATCATGTTGACTGTTGTAGTTTTTGGAACAATTCTGATATAGTCCCTGGTTTTAGCCAATTACAGGCTAAAGACAGTAATTTCTTTGTATCTGATACCTTGAACAGCAATGTAGTTGGCACAGAAGTTAGTGTATTGATACTGTTTTCTATATTCATAATGGAAACAAGAAGAAACGGTGCAGTATGTTTTCAGTACAGCTGTCTGAGGCCAGATTAACAATTTTGACTAACCAGTGCTTTTGTACATGTTGAAAAACTCTACTACTATGGAATTTCACAGGAAATGGGTGGTAAGGTAGATGTAAAACTAGCTACATTAATATTTTTAGATTTTTCAATAAACATTGCAATAACTTTGATTTTTTAAAAATATTTTTATTCTCAATTGCCAAACAGCTTTATGGTATCTACTTAAATTTATTAATTTTATTAGCTGAACAAGCCCATATTGCTGTACTGTTATTTGAATATATATTTTTCTTGTGAGAGCTTTCTTACCCTACTTTCCATATGCTATCCAAGATTTAAGCCGTCATTCGTTTTGTAGTATTCCTGCCATAACAGAGTAATGTGCGTACTTACAGTGTAGCTCTTTTTAGGGCTTTGTAAGAAAAGGTTGCAGTAGGAAAAGGCAAACCTTGAAGTAGCTACTTAATGCAAATTTTGGGGCACATGACAGTAATAAAAAAATAGCTCTGATTTAGCACAGAAAATGCTGTTTTAAAAATGTCTGGCAAGAGTTTTTATTTTGAAAAAGCTCACTGAATTAACCTGCTACCTGTGTTACACCAGCTGCTACAATTAAATGTTTGGCCCTATATCCTTAGTTTGCTCAGAAACAGAAAATACGTAAATACCTCGTTAGTACAAGTATTTTTGTGTGTGTTTTGCTTTGGTGATCCCCACAAGTTTTATCTAAACCTGGAATTAATGTAATTTTTCCCCTAAATGTAGTAGCGAGTTCATAGAATAACTTTGTTGTTGACGTATTGTAATAATTTACAGTGTTTCTTTCAGTTGTGGCAAGGAGTGAGCGAAATGCTAATTATATCCATCCATTTATTCCTCATGTCCTCTTCTCCTTCCATTCACTGCCAGCCACTAGAAGCAAATAAGTTTGAATCGAATTTGAGAGATTTATGATACCTGTTTTATATTGCCCACTTAAATTTGTGGGAGTATTTACATGGTCTGCTTTAGCAGCCTGATGTATGATACCTAAAACTAGAAACCTAAACCTTATGTCAGAAATACGTAGCATTAGGCACCATCAGTCATGCTTTGAAGATGCCAGTTAAATGCCTATGTTAATGGTTGTGACTAACCTACCCCACTTGACTATAATTATTTTTTTCATTTAAAAAATATTTTTGTGATTAGGTGAGTCGCAAACTATATTTTTTTGTTATTCCCTTTTATTTCCTTGTTTTTCCATCTGAATTACAAGTTAAAATATATAGGACTGTATTTTGGGTCATTAACTTGGGTTTGCATCTTGTTAAAGTTTAATTATACTAATCACAATGGATTTGAGTATCTAGGATGGCATGTATAAGCAGTCCCTTTTTTAACATGAAATTTATTTGTATTTCAAGGGTTCCATTGTCAAATCCTTCATTAGCATCAAAATGCAGTAACTTCCTACCGTCTGAGGAACATATTCAGAAGCTAAAAGAAGCAGGAAAAGATGGTGATAAGCAGCTGATCATAGTAAGTAATACCCTTTTAGTAAGGCTTGTAGCTTCTCGAAGAAATTACTTGTGAATTTTCAGTGCTGTGTTTTTATGAACGTGTCTAAAAATCATTACTTATACATACTACTATTGCCATTGTAAATTATTTGTGAAAGTAGAACCTGTACTAGATTGTCATTCAGTATTGGTGGAAAAAATGGTGCCAGACAGACTTAACATTTAAAGCTGATTCTTGTTAAAACAAATTTCTGCTTTTTTTTTTAGTAGGATGGTTATTTAGTAAAATTACAATTGTTTTAGGGAGAATGAACTTGCCTTTACTTACATGCAAAATCTCAGTTTCTTAAAATTTCAGAATTACAGGGAGAGGTGCCTCTGGCAGATTGTATGCAAAATTAATATCGAGATTTATTCCTGCATCATTCAGATGTCCTTTGTTCTCAGACAAACTTAAAGATTTTTCATGTGCGTGCACTCGTTTTCACCATAACATTTGAGCAACAATGCTAGTTTTCTTAGTTTTTCTTACCCTTGTTTGCTATTGGCTACCAAATGCAGGTATCTCTTTTAAAGCAAGAAAATGCGAAATGAGAAGGAAGAGAGTAACAGTCATTTTCCGTCTTGTAGAATCACACAACTTGATGGTGAAACTACTGGAGGTTTTAGTTGTTAGGTTTTGTGTTTTTAATAAGCCACACATCAGATGTGGCCTTGAGAAATGAAAGGCTGGAGCTGGGAAACTACGGAAGGAGAGGAAGCCAGGCCATTAGGAAGAAGGACTCTGTAGTAAGCTTCTTATGAAATTACTCCTCTTGCATATAACTGGTGGTCTTGCTTATTTGCAATTTTTTCATGTAGTACATGGATTATACACATGAAAATATTAACTAAAATAGAACTAGGTGAATTGTGAACACTCTGTTGTATCCACACTGAAATATTTTAAAACCAAAGCTTCTGAGAACTAGACTGATAAACATATCCTTCGTTTGCCTAAAGTGATACAAATTTTGGCACTTGAATGCCTGATCCCAGGATGATAAATGAACCGTATCTAACATGTATGAAATATTTCAGCTGTGGCCTCTTTGAAACTCGTTTAACCAACAGAGTTAAAATGCAAGATTAAGTGTCTTCACTATATTAAAAAGACTATAAGAATATTCCTTTACATTTCAGTAAAGCCGACTTAATTTTTTCTCATACAGTAATAGAACTTGACTGATGAGTTGTTAGGATTTTTGACAAGAAGCGATACATAACTTTCTGCTTAGCTACTGAAGAGAGGTTGTGTAGTTCTTCTCTACAGTATTTATCCAAAGAGACTTTTTGCAATTTATTGACTATGCTGATGGTATTCTTGTGTTCAGCCCAAATTAGGAGAGTAATATTTTTTTCCCCAGGTATTCAACAGTAATAAGTTGAAAAACTTGGCAAAATTTTAGAATATAAAGAATAGGTCATCAATGAAGAGCACTAGGGAAAATGAGACACACCTAGTTTATGGTTCTCTGTGTGCATTTCTGGAAAATGCAAGAGAGCACTGTATTTAATTTTTAAATGTGAAAATAACAGCTTCATAGTATCTATTTCCACACTTCATACAAATCTAATTTACTTTGGTTTTATAGAGTTCAGAGCAGCCTTTTTATTGTATTGAAAGGGCATTTTGGTAATGCCTGTAGTCTCTTTACCAAGTGAGCATTAGGTAAGGTATTGCTGTGTTATTCTTTTAGGGGGGTGGCATGGGGCAGAACAGGACAGAAGAGGATGGGACACGACACAACAGAACAGGATACTGCTTTTAGCATTGTCAAAACATATAGGGGAAGCCAAATATTTGTTGAGCCATTTTGTAAAATAGTATCCTTGACGTTAGTTACTGTGGAGACTAGACATAGTTGTATCTAGGATAGTTTGTGCTAGCATCTGGAGGGGAAAAATTACTAAATTGGCTTCTGAAGTACCAGACTTTGCTCGTACAAATACTAGAAGATTGGAAATTAAATACATGTAATAAAAATAAGGTATATTTTGTAATTAATAGTGTTGTTTGTGAAACCATGCCGAATTTCTTAAATGTTGATTCTGAATGACTGGACCTTTAGGGGTTTTTTTAGGAAATATTTTTAAAAGTGTTTATGTATTCCTGTGATCCTCTGAGAACAGAGGAAAGATTCATTTGGTTTAAAAGCTGTTCAGGTTGAAATTTCTCCTACACAGAGAGAACTATTACTATGCACAGTCAAATAACTTAAATTAGCATTTATAGTGTCTGTAAAAATTTTTATAGTTAGTAGCTATAAGTCATTTTTATTTCAAGTTTCTGGTGCGTTGTATTAAGAGAAGCAGTTTCATTATTCTTCTTCACCTTGAACAAAGTTGGGAAGTCATGCTTTTATTCTTAGCAAGGAACATTTAACTTACACTTTGGTACACTTCTAAGAAAAAATTAAATGCCTGAAAAGTGGAAATTTGGACTCTCTACTGTGAGATCTGATTTTTTTGGAGGTCTGTCAAGCCAGTCCATCTTAATGTATGTACAGACCCTTTTTCTCGTTTTTATAACCACCGGGGAAAAACTACTTGGGCTTAGTTTGACTCACCACATGATACATTATCTTTGTTTTGCTGGTTTTTTGCTATTGAATTTTCCTAGTCTTTTGTATTTAAATTTGACATCTGTCCTTTTAATTATCTTTACAGTATCTGAGTCTCAAAGTCTGGAACGTTACAATACTGTCTGTGTATTCTAACCTTTTCATTTCCTGAGCTAGAGGTGTTATGGTAAAACTAGTCTTTGTTTTCCACAATATGCTTATTTGTTTTATATTTTATCCTCGAAGATGTATCTTACCTTCTTTCTTCCATACAATTGCTATAATGAACAGATTTATTTTCTATTTTTCTTAAGTAAAATAATCTTTAATAAGCTTTAAGACTTTAACAGACGTAAAATAATAGAACTTCCATTTGTAGAAGAAATATTTAGTAGCTATACTTGCATCATTCTCTTACTCAGTACACATCATCTAGTTACCTGAGCGGCTTTCAAACATAAAATTATCTTCATTTTTTAGAGGTACAACTAAGACAAAAGATGAGTTGTTTCTGTTTTCTTCAGATTTGCTTGCTGTCTCACATCTTAAAAAGCAAGTCTCTTCAGACTATAGAACTTCAGATGAAAACAGCGAGGAATCTAATGCTGCAACAAACTCTGTAAAATAAACAGTGACAGGAAACAATGGTGTTCAAAGTAATGTGAAAAGATTTAGGTTCAGACCTTGGAAAGTACAATCTATTTTTTCTGGGGGAAAGAAATTAAGATTGAGAATAAAAATATATTATGTTCCAAATCCATGACTTGGTGTTCAGAGAAGTAGCCTGTTCTGAAAACTGGTGAACTGTACCCACTGACACTTCATTTAGATGTTCAGTTGGTAGCTTGACAGGTTACATGAAGCTCCATATTGGATGTAGTTTTACAGAGTAATGCACTAAAACTGTTTTTTACTTTCCAAGTACTTGAATCTAATGTGCAAATATGAGAACTTGAATATGAAATCATCTGTTCCTTTAACTTCTGAAATGGAAAGAAATACCAATGTGCAAAACATATGTTTTCAATTTTCGTAAAATGAGATATGCTTTACATCCAAGACAAGGAAATCAGTTGTTTGCTTCTTGTAAAAATTATGAGATATGCTTTACATCCAAGACAAGGAAAATCAGTTGTTTGCTTCTTGACGCTTGTCTGCCAGATCTAGGACAAAATTTTGACCATAAGAATAGGAATTGATGAAAGTATTAATGCTACAAATAAATGTTCTAAATAATGACTGATGAGTTACAGGGATACTTTTTCCATTTTATGCCACTAAGGAGATGTGCTCCTTTGAATATTAAGCTAGTCTTTTGAAAATTATACTCATCAATTTTAGGAAAGAACATGTAACAAGAATGAATGGTGGAAACAAATCACTGAAGTGATAAAAAGATCATAGAATCACAGAATGCTTTGGGTTGGAAGGGACCTTAAAGGTCATCTAGTTCTAACCCTCCGCCATGGGCAAGGACACCTTCCACTAGATCACATTGTTCAAAGCCTCATCCAACCTGGCCTTGAACACTTGCAGGGATGAGGCATCCACAGGTTGTCTGGGCCACCTCTTCCAGTGCCTCACCACCCTCAGAGTGAAGAATTTCTTCCTTGTATCTAGTCTAAATCTACCCTCTTCAATTTAAAGCCATTGCTCCATGTCCTATCACTACATGCCCTTGTAAAAAGTCCCTCTCCAGCTTTCTTGTAGGCCTCTTTAGGTACTGAGAGGCTGCTAGAAGGTGTCCCCGGAGCTGTCTCTTCTCCAGGCTGAACAACCCCAACTCTCTCAGCCTGTCTTCATAGCAGAGGTGCTCCAGCCCTCGGATCATCTTCGTGGCCCTCCTCTGGACTTGCTCCAGCAGCTCCGTGTCCTTCTTGTGTTGGGGACTCCAGAGCTGAACGCAGTATTCCAGGTGGGGTCTCACGAGAGCGGAGTAGAGGGGCAGAATCACCTCCCTCGACCTGCTGGCCACGCTTTAGAAAGTAGTATAGAGCTTCTTTAGAAAGATAGTATAGAGTTACAGAGACTTTTCTGCCTTTCTAGAGGTCTGAGTTAATGCCTGGATGCAAGCAAACATGATTAAATATAGATGATCTTTATAAGCATCAGCAAACGTATGGATCAGGATTGCTTGATGGGATATGCTTTTGATTCTGAGATTTGAATTGGTGCTACATGTGGAAGTGATGTGCACGCTAATTCAGTTCACACATTTTGAGATCACTTGAATTTTTCCTTATATATATTTTGGTTAAACTTGAACATAGTTTCCTGTTTGACTAAAATAGGTAATATATGAAAGAAATATTGTGATTTAAACTGAAAACCTAATCTTCAGTGGAAATGGTAAGTGTAAAAATGATTCTTATGAGCCTGAAGAAAGTTGCATAGCTAATTTAAACTAATCTAGTCC